TCTCTCTCTCCTTTTTCTTTCTGTTTTTGTCTCTTTCTCTGTGTCTCTATCTGTCCCTCTCTGTCTCTTTCTGCCTCTTTCTTTCTCTCTTTTTCTCTCCTTCCCTCCCTTATTAATAAATGTCCTTGAATGTGTGCATGATTAGTGATCACATCCCAAAATGCACAGCCAGATATCAGAATGTAGATAGTTCCTTGACTGACCACATGATGACAAAGGATCACTGCAGTTATCATGGGAAACAGTCATGTAAATGGACTGATAGCTGCATGCCCAATTCTTAAATGATTATTGAGGGCCCCTAAAATAAATAATAGTCAATTTTGCCTCTCATTTTTGACTTTTTGGTTATATTTCTATGGAAATTTTGTATTTGTGACACTAATGTTTTTTGGCCTCAAGCTTTTCCAATATATGGATGTAATATTGGTAAGTGCAAATGGGAATCAATGAAAATTCTGACAGCTTATTATGCCAAGTTGACAAATGTTTATCCATGCCTTCTATGGTATGGATCTATCACTATGCTTAAGGATTTGAGTCTATAAACTTTTGTTTGTTACCCAACCAAAAGGTACAAGGAAATGACACATAGTACAGAGAAGGGTAAAGCTGATTGGGATCAAGCTCACCCAAATGCATGTTGTAGGCAACACATTTTCAGGCTTCTGAAACCTGAATAAAAGGAGATTAGTGTTAGTGCCTTAAAAATGACAATTCTCTAAGACTGGATATTCTTGAAAAAATTTTCCAAAATGGTTTATGACCATGGAAGACAGCATGCTGTAGAGGAAAGAATATCACATCTGGAGCAAAAAAAAATGGGACTGATGCCTAAGCCTAGGGCCATTTACCACCTATGTGGTCATTCATAAATTACTTTTACATATTGGGGCCTCAGTTTCCTCATCTGTTGATGAGGCAGTTGGACTAGATAATCTCTATAGTGCCATCTAGTTCTAACATGATGAAGGGAAATTTGTAGCCTTTGCATAATGCTCAGCAAACGCACATCCAGAAAACACTTCTGTATCTGGGACTAGAATCAGAATGAATACATGGCTTTCTGCCATGATGCGAAAAAGCAAATAAATTCTTAAATGTTTCTTCCTAAGGAATATCTGATGACTTCAGAGGTGTCCCTTTAATTTAGAAGACATATATTAGTACAAAGCATTATAACTTTGCTCATTTAACTCTGTACTCTTTCCCTATAGGAAACTGGGCAAACCAGATTTAAAACTTACTGGTTTCTCAGTCATCAGCCTATGGGGAATGAGCTACAGCATCTCTTCCTTTGTGGAGGTTTTAAAAACACTCTTAGAGGCAATGTTGTCTGTTTGATTCAAACTCATATAGACGTCTGTGTTCCCTTTTGTATTTGAGTCTTCCTTGTGAAATAAATAGGATATATTCAGTCCTCTAATATCTCTCAACTCTTTTGTGTTTATTATTTTTTTGGTTCAGTAGGGAGACAAGAAGGATTTGTGGATCTGTGATTTCATCAACTTGGGGAATTCCCGTTATGGTGATTCCTGACACAGATGTGCAACTCCTCTGTTACTCATAGTGTTAATTAGCCCAAAGGGCTAAGGGTTGATTCTCATCACATAGCTAAAAAGCATTATGGGTAGGACTTGACCCCTTGTCTTTTTGTATCCAAGGATAGCCTTCTCTCCTTCATGCCATGCTGTCTGTCCTTTTAATCATTATTCTCTAATAAAATGAATCTGTAAGTGCTTTTGCATACAGTGTACTGGATATTATTCTTATCTATATACATAAACCAGATTGAAAACATGAATTAGCAGTTAAAATTCAAACAAATGGATATTTTGAACAATTAACATAAAAAAATTGACTGATTTTGAACCAGTAATTGGTTTTGTTGTTGTTTTGTTGTCATTTTTCCTTCTCCAGTAAAACGTGTGAATTTTAGCCATGGCCTTTGATTTTCCAAATTGGTTAGCCCTTGCTGGTAGTTTTAAAAAAGAAAGAAAGGGACTGAAGACTAGTGTTGTTAAATAAAGTGCTGTCAATTTGCAACAGCTGCCTAGAGAGATCCTAAATTGCACGTGTGTTGTATTCCCTGACATAAATAGTTCCCAGCAGACCTTGCCCATGAACTCAACTGTGTCCTAATGTACCTGGCCATGAAAGTGATGCTTGGCTTATCCATAGGCTCACCATCAATGCGGAATGCCAGCTGCAGCTCCATAATTTCCCAATGGATGAACATTCGTGCCCACTGATATTCTCCAGCTGTAAGTAATGCCTTCATTTTTGAGACTGTGTCTGAATCTTGAATACACTCAATAATACGTTACTAATTACTAGTAATTGTGAGGTTATGCATTTTCCCTCTACATGTAGACAGTTAATCTTGATTAGTGCTTCCTAGAAGAGTAATTTTCACTTCAGTATAATGATTCCAAGCCTGTGTCATGATAGAGAGTCCTTTGATAAACTTGAGAGGCACTCCATTGGCCAATTTTCAGAAATTTACCTAGAAGTGTTTAAGAAAGACAAAGAAATGTACCTTTTAAATTGGAGTATATCATATAGATCCATGTGAAATATTCAGATACTTTTAGATCAATAGTAAATGAAAGTAAATGGTTTTGTCAGGTAAGAGGCAAAAAGATTTGTCTCAAATATAAATAACTTTGCCTCAATTAAAATTTTATAGTGTCACCACATGAAATCCCAGCTCCCTTAGCATTCAGTCACTTTGTATGGATTTGTACTGTTTATGATTTACATCCATCAGTATTCCTGTTAATAAAAGGTCTTGGCAACATTGTAAGTCATTCATCTGACAAAAATCCTTCTTAGTGCAGTATTCTATGATAAGAATACCCATAGAAGATAAAACAGAAGAGCCTAATTCAGTTATTATATGTTATAAATTATCTCATATCAATGTTTAGCAAAACAAATGGGAGGAGTGAGATAAAAGTCATTGTTTAAAAAGGCAGGTCTATTTAATCAATGTATGTTACATATTTCAATTGGTGTTGACTGTGATAATTACAGTGTGAATCAGAAGAAATGTATGTGGTTTCCAACCAATCAAATGATTTGCTAGTAGAGCTGACTTAATGAACAAAACATTATTTTTTCATTAAGAACAAACCTAGACCAGCACAAGCAAAACCTTCAAGGAAGATGTTTTTTGGTTCTTGCCCTAATGGTCTCCTGATTGGATCAGTCAGGTAGACAAAAAAAAAAAAAAAATGAGACCATATTTTGCAGGGATTTTTAGGAGGGAAGAGAAAACAATACATTATGGATCATCTCCCAGTCTGGGTGAGAATATCCCAATTTGGAAAACAATCACAAATTAGCTGAGAATAAAGCTTAAATCCTATGTACATAATATCTTTTCTTTAAGGTAAACCATGATACTCATCTGAAACAACAAAGAGAAGCATATGCCAAAGGATATATAATGTATACAAGAGAAGCTGATGACTGCAAGTAGGAAAATCTCTCAGACTACATTAGAGAGTATGCTTAACAAATGTAATGGAGAGAAAATAAGTTGCTAAAGGCTCCTCTGAGTGTGTTTGCTTGGTTTTAATATATTGCTCTGAAAGATAAGTGAGTTTGTTGAGAACGTGCTACAAATTTTCTTACCATATTTATAAAAATTAATGAATTGATTGAGAATATACATCTGTATCTATTTGCTCAGGTTGATCATGAAGGAATTTTCATTTAACACTCTCCTCAATGTTTATTGATGATGATTTATTCATTTACTCTATTTAGGATTTCTTAATTACCTACATTTAAAAAATGATAAAATAAAAACCAAACCTAAACTCAAAACCTAATAATAGAATATATGTGTGTATACACATATACATATAAACACATATTCATGTCTACATCTACATACATACACATTTCTACATCTACATACATACAACATGCAGACACACAGACACACATGCACACATGTATATATACACATGTGTGTATATGTGTGTGTATGTATGTATTCTGCAGGCTAGGCTAATCAAAATCATCAAGTAGACACAAGATTATTTGTCCTGCCAAAGTGATTTTATTAATTTGGAAAATTATTCTGCAAGTTTTACATAGTCGTGAATATGCTAAAACACATGATTTTAAATGGTTACTCATACCAATGTTGAATGGAATTTAATTTTTTTGTTTTTTTTTAATGGAACTTATTTCGATGGCTTTCTTCTTCACACATTGAAAAACAAACACCATCTTTTTTGATAGTCTTCCTCCTGATGGTGCTACAAAACCAAGTGGCAGCAAATGCAGGTAGTTTTAAGTATCTTTGTACATCAGGAAAAGATGCTAGTGACTTATATAGGTGACAACCCCATGGACACTTTGGAGCTAACTCCCATTATGCCATTTTTTAAACTTGTGAGTTTCCAAATTAAATCTTCATTTATTTAGCAAAGACAAATATTGAGGGTTAAAACAAGGCAGTAATGCAATTGAGTTGTCCATCTCTTCATAGGATCATGCATCTAGATCTAGAAGACAGCTTACAAATTAACAAATCCAACTCCCTCATTTTACAAGTGAGAAAACTGAAGTCCAGGGAAGTTAATTGACTGGTACAAGTTTACACAAACAAGTGTAAAGTGTCAGGGGAGGGATTTGAACACAGATCCTCATACTCCAAAGTCAGTGCTCTTTCTATTCAACTACTCATCACATGTCTTATCTATTTCTTTTTTTGATCAATTTCCTAGTGATATGTCTAGAACCCTATCTTGTACTTAGGTCAATATTGTAAATATGCTGCAGTATACTTGACATTCTACAGATTCCAATTAGTCTACTTGTGACAGTCTGACATAGCCTAAGGAACACTGGAACAATGGGAGGAGATGCCTGTGTTCACAATTACTACGTGTGCAACTAAGTACCAGTATCCTTGAGCTTCAATTCCCTAATGTGTAAAATAGGGCTGATAATAATACCTGTAGTCCTTATATCAAACATATGTGAATATCAATTAATGTACGTAAAGGGCTACATAATCACTGCAGGATGGATAGAGTGGTGGATTTAGCATCAAGAAGGTGGGTTCAAATTTTGTCTCCAACAAATATTTAGATCCATTAATATGGAGAAATTGTTTAACTTTTCTCTGGGTTTCACTTTCCTCATTGATAAAATAAAGTTGTTGAAATCATCTGAAGTACTTACGGGTTACTGCAAGAACTAAATGAGATAATGAATTAAAAAAAACTTTTTATAAGTCTTGAAGGGCTATATAAATGTTACGTATTTGATAATTACTACCATTACAATTTACACACTCCTGAGGAAAGAATGGTTGAAAATTAACCTTAGTTATTTTTAACAGCACCATTAGTTTCTTTTCTCCCATTCCTTAATTTATTTATTTTAACATTCATTTCTAAAAATTTTGAGTTCTAGTTTTGATCCCCTCTCCCCATATCTGCCCCCACACATTAAGAAGATAAGCAATAAGGTATCAATTACACATGTGAAGTCATGCAAAACAAATTTCTATATTTGTTGTGGTGGTTCTGTCATTTCAGATGTGTCTGACTATGACTTCCTTTGAGGTTTTCTTGGCAAAGATACTAGAATGATTTGTCATTTCCTTCTCCAGATCATTTTACAGATGAGGAAATTGAGGAAAACAGATTTAAATGATTTCCTTAAGGTTACACAGTTAGTGATTGAGGCCAAATTTTAATTCAGGTCTTTCTGGTTCCAGGCCCAGTGCTCTATCCACTGTACCACATAACTGTCCCATTTTCATTTACCATATTGTGAAAGGAAGAAAGACAGAAAGACAGAAAGAGAAATAAAAATAAAGGAGTAAAGAAAGTGAAAAAGCTATTTTTAAATCTGTGCTCAGAGTTCATCAGTTCTATCTGTAGGTGGGTAGTATGTTTTATCATGAGTTTGTTGGAAGTAGCTTGGATGATTATATTGATCAAAGAACCTAAGTCTTTCACAGTAGATCATCATTACAATATTGCTGTATGATGTTTTTCTGGTTCTGCTCACGTGACTTTGCATCAGTTCATACAGGTCTTCCCAGGTTTTTCTGATACTTTCTTATTTCTTACAGGACAATAGGATTTCATCAAAATCACATACCACAACTTGTTCAGCTATTTACCAATTGATGGGCATCCCCTGAATTTCCAATTCTATGTCATCTCAAAAAGAGGTGCTATAAATAGTTTTGTACATGTATGTCCTTTTCCCCTTTTCTTTGATCTCTCTGGGATACAGACCTAGTAGTGGTATTGCTGGGTTAAGGGGTATGCATAGTTTGAAAGTCCTTTGGGTGTAGTTGAAAATTCTTTTCTAGAATGATTGGACCAATTCACAACTCCATCAACAGTACATCAGTGTCTTGATTTTCCCTCATCCCCCTAACATTTGTCATTTTTCTTTTCTGTCATATTAGCCAATCTGATAGATATGAAGTAGTACCTCAGATTTGTTTTAATTTTCATTTCTCTAAGCAATAGTGATTTAGAGCATTTTTGTATGATTGTAAATAGCTTTGATTACTTCATCTGAAAACTGCCTGTTCATACCCTTTTATCATTTATCAATTGAAGAATGACTCATTTTTTCGTAAATTTGTCTCAGTTCCCTAAATGTTTGAGAAATGAAACCTTCATCAGATAAACTTTATGTATTCCCCCCCTTTTTTTCCTGCTTTCCTTCTAGTTTTGGCTATTTTTTGTGGAAAAACTTTTAATTCCATGTAATGAAAATGATCCATTTTACATCCTATGATCCTCTCTATCTCTTGTTTGGTCATAAACTCTTCCCTCATCTGACAGATAAATTTTTCCATGCTCCCCCAATATATTAATTATTTTACTTTTTATGTAGAGATCATTACTCATTTTGACCTTATTTTGGTAAATGGTGTGAGGTGTTGATCCATGCCTAGTTTCTGCCAAACTATTTTCTAGTTTTCCTAGCCATTTTTTGCAAATGCTTACTTATTTCTTATTTGAAAAGTTTTTATCTTTGAGTTTACTAAATACTATATTATGGTCATTTACTACTGTGTATTGTGTACCTAATCTATTCCATTCATCCACTATTCTATTTCTTAGACAATACCAAATTATTTTGATCATTGACACTTTCTGCTGGGCCACTTTCCCTCACATTTTTTTTCATTGATTCCCTTGATATTCTTGACCTTTTGTTCTTCCAGATAAATTTTATTATTTTTTCTAAGTCTTTAAAATAACTCTTT